CCCAGGTATTCAAAAGTTGGTCCCACGGTATGACCAATGTCTCAATTCCGGTGGCGAATATGTTGAAAAATAGCTGGACACTTGCTGTATCTGTTGCAATAAATATTTCCATGAAATTGTGTTTTGTTTCTGTAAACGGCCCCAGGGAAACTTACTTTGAGGACGCGCCTCGTATGTGTACTTTTGAGTATGCCTTTTCATCGCCATTCGCTTTACTGAACGTAGTTGGAGATGTTTAGAATTGTGTTACCTGAAGGATATGGCATATGAATACACATCATTTCCACTGGGTCTGACTAGAAAGGCACCGTCTGCAGGGGCTCTCTTTAGAAGTTCTTCGGCTTCAGCGCGAGTGATATTCTGATGATACCACTCCTTGCCCTCGTGCTTATTAGGCTGAGGCACTGGTTCTTGAAGCGTGATTAGAAATTCCTGAAAATTAATTGCGTGGTGATTAACAAATCCTCCCGATGATCACTTTAAATGTTTACTTACCCAGTAAATATTTGCTTTTTGGAGAACACATTTTAATTCTAAGAACAAGCAGAGCAGACAGTGATATTTTCAGTGATGAACCTCTTTTCTTACATTCTTGTGTAAACCAAATATTCAAGTTTTTTAATCAGAAATATTAGATAGAAGTGTGAATTATGCAACAGAGTAACGTATGTGATCAGATCGGAAACTGTGGCACTTTGGTGGATATATTCAGAACAGTTTACTGAACACAAGTCACTCTGTTCATATGCTAACCAATGTGGAACAGAAAACTCAAAAAACAAATATATTTTGAGAATTATTTCTGTTTTGAAAACTCCTTATACCTACCTGCCTTATCATGTGCACATGACCCTTAGTCACTGAGCATTCTCATGACAAGTAACATATTATAAGGTCATTAATAACTACATTCTACAGTTACCTTACTACTAACCACAGAGACAAGGGTCTAGTGAAAGGTTCCAATGAGAAGCCATTGCCTATATTACACTGAATTATATGGCTTCCTCTGGCAGTACAAAACTTAAATATTTATTATACAATATTTATTGATGACGGAAAACTTCTGATCAGTTACTTGTAAAAGCATATCGTGTCATACCTAACAAGGGACACCAATGAATTTGCATGTATATACGAGGCGCGTCCCAAAAGTAAGTTTCCCCCTCGTCCCACAGCTAGCAAACCTTATACTGAGCGAAGCGACTGTGCGTACGTGATAGAGCAATGACGTAGCATGGCGCATGCACTAACGGCACTTCCCGCGTTCTCACAGTAGCATCGTTGCAGCTGTTGAAGATGGAGGTTCTTATTCCAGCTCCCGCCGACTGTGAAGTGCGGTCAGTGATAACGCTAGGCCGCACACGGCTCGACGGACAGCAAGTCTCCTGCAGGAGTTCAGCTGGGAGGTGTTTAATCATCCACCCTACAGCCCGGACCTCGCTCCCAGTGATTTCCATCTTTTCCTACACCTCAAGAAATTCCTGTCCGGTCAGCGTCAGCGTTTTGAGAAAGCCTTCATTCTGACGCCAACTTTGTATTAAGGAACTGATCAGGATGCAGAACATATATGGAACAATACCAAAGAAATTATGATATGGTAATACACCTACCTGACTTCGAAGAGGATGACTGCGATAATGCGTTATTAAACTATATAAACTATCAAAACAGTTAGACTCAATCAGGTAATACTTTGTCTGTCCTTTGTCCTGTTTTGATCTGATCCGGCAGTGGTTGACCTTTCCCTGGCGCCTGAAAACATTAACCAATCAACAATAACTTAAAGATACTGAAGATGGTTTTTGAATGTACAATATGGAAACTCTTTTTAAAGTTCATAAACTTTGGCATACGGCGTGGGGTGGGGTGGGACATAATTTTGGTTGGAAAACCTCATGGAAAGAAACCAATTGGGATACCAGGAACAGATGACACGATAATATTCAAATGGATCTTTGAGAAACAGGGTGTGAAGTTCATTCTTCATCACTCACCAGAAAGAAAGCGAATAATCTCCAACAAATGTTTCACTTTCTCGGACCAGAAATGTGCCATCTCCAAGAGAAGAGTACATCCTGAGTAAACTCTCTGCTTCTGATCTCCCTCCAGCCAACTTCCCATGGAACCATTTCTCACTGAAGTGAAGCTCATCATTTGGCACACCCTGTAAAATTACGTCAACAGTTCTCTTTGGTTCCAACTAAACATCACATGTAACTATTTCATTTTCTTGTGTCTTTTCCTTGGAAATGTCTGTAGTCTACCTGGAATTATAATAGAAACTCCATAGCTAAGCCGTAACATTGCTAAGATGTCATTATAAATGTCTGGATTATATCACAATGAAGTTGTGGCTTCGTCCCAGTAACATGAAATCTAAACACTTGTGTTTATAAGGCAGTGTCTTTAAAAGATTCTACACTGATTCTTATAATACCCTAAACTATAATCTTTACAGCAACTGATTTCCTTTGTCATCAATATTCGGAATCAGGAAACAGTAGATGTTGCAGCAGTGAATATTTTCATACCATTATTTTCTAATTATATTAAATTTATGTATTACAAAAAAATTATGACATATGCTCTTCTTATACTCATTCACCTTCACACCTTCAGTCTTGCCTTAAACACACAGAAAGCAGTTACACGTTTATGTCTAACTGATACATGATTTTAAGCTTCTGCGGCAATGAAACCAACGTTTCAGGGAACCCTGATGACGGGGACAGAGATGGTCCCTGAAATGTCAGTTTCGTCGTTTAACCATCTGACACGGCTAATCACCCAAGAAAATTTTATTGAATTACGTCTAACTGCATTTGCAAGACATAATGGCAAAGTATCCCTTTAAAGTAAAAAACAACACATCAGAGTGGGTGGATTCAGTTGTTACATGAAAAAGAAAGACGCAAGTTTTGGGATAAAAATCTACTAAAACCATCGAGCAGGGAGTTTGCTTTCTACATTCATGATGTTTGTGGATGACTTTACAATGATGAAAGATCTTACAGATATATACTGTATCTATGTTATAGTGCGTTGAATATATGAACTTGGTAACAGCACAGACCTCTGTGAATGTTTGCAACTGCGTAGTACCAAAAATATTGAAACACCATACTTGGTTGATTGAGATAATCAGCCAAGTCAGCTATAGAGAAACAAGACTAGTTCACTGAGAACTTCATTTTGGCCACAACAGCACTTTTACCTCTTTTGATCTATGAAAGCCTGACTCATCTTCCTCCTCATCTCCTTCTGCCTCCTGCTCATTCTGGAAGCTGTCAGTGTAGAATAGTTTGTGCTGTGTGAGAACAAAGAAGTGAGGGTTCCACTCCTTGTCCACTGGATCTTCAAGATAAAGGATTCCATTCTTCACCGTGTTCCTAAGATCTATTTCCTTACCTACAAAATGCAAAGAAATATCTATACAGGGTGAGTCAGAAGTATGTTTACAAACTTCATGTGTTTTCCAGGATCAAAAATAAGAAAAAATGTTCCTATGAACATGGGGTCGCAAATGTTTCATTTTCGAAATAATAGCCAAAAATAATGTGTGAAGTGGATTGAAATGCCTAGGTTTGTGTCTACGGCAGGTTTGGTATTAGCAACACTGAATCTTTGGGTTAATATGGCAATAAAATATGACAGAGTAACGAGAAAATTGGTCTTACTAACAGTCTCTTGTTTATATATAATATATCAAGTTTTTCAGCACGTCTCTAGGAAGAAAGAAACAATTTGGGAAAATATAGAAATTTATGGTAAAACCTAGGTCTTCCACTATGACTCAGAAAACAAATTCCAAAATCTCCAATGGAGGACAGGATCTCTGAGACCAAAACAAGGGAAAATGCAAAAGAAACAAAGGTCTAATCCATGCTGATCTGCTGTTATTATATTAAACGAGTTATACAATACAAATTTGTTCCCCCAAAATCATCAACAAAGCTTTCTAGAGTTTTAGAATATTTAAGGTAGCACATTTTTTTTAAAAATGACACATTTTTGGCTAGACAAAAGAAAAGTGAATTTTTTCTTAAGTAATTTCAGGTCAACATCCACCGTACTGATCTGATTTGGCCTGTGTGACATATTCATCTTCCCAAACTAAAGATCTCCTTGAAAGGATCTGATTTTGAATCACTTGGCGAAAACAGTCAGAGCAATATTACACTGAAAATACTTTTGAAAACCAATTTCCAGCAGTTTCCAGGCATGGCAATGACAATGGACTGCTTGTATACTCAAAAGACGAAAATCTGGAAGGTGACCACACTCAGAGAATTGGTGAAATCACTGATTATTTGTCAGACAATGAACATCTTTCATTCTGACATGAAGTTATGATTAATTTGTAACTGAACTTTGTAAAGAATGTTAGCGTACCATCAGCATTTTTCACAAAGAAAGAGCCTTCATCTTCTCCTTCAGGCAGCTTCTTGTGCTTCAGAATAATTTTTTTCCGTAACTGATGAGGTGATGGCAAATGTGTCTCATTTCTCTCAACAGGATGCACTACCAGCATATCTCCAAACACTTCCTGCATTGCTGTAGCCATTTTCCTTTGCTGAGGTAACGAACAGTTATCTTCAATGGACAGGATAACTGGGAACCTAAAAGTAAAAATAACATTCATCAATAACCATGTGTCAAATCAGTCAAATATAGACAGTTATTGTAGACTCAAAATGTAGCTGACAGTGGAGACAAAAAATTCATACAGCAGGTTTGAAGTTCATTTTGGTACTGCCTCATTTGAATCTGATTAACAGATTGAGAACGAATGTTTTTTTTTAGATTGGGAACTTTGCTGAACTATCTATAACGCAATAATAAAATTCACAGCTGGATGTGTGTACAGAATGCAAAATAAAAAACACAAAAAGAAAGAATGGGATGCAAGACACCTTGAAAAAAAAATCAGGAGAGAGACTAAGATAACCCTGGAAATACAGTAAACAAAATACATTTACAAGAAAAGGAACAGAAACACTGAAAATAGCTAATTTTTCACAACACTAGACAGAACAATATCAACTGCATACAAAAACTAATAATGAAAGAGTTGCCGAGTATTAATAAATTGTTACATAAAAAGAGAACTTACTCTGAGGTAACAAAGGCGTGATCTTTTATGGTTTTAATAACGTCCATAAACTTTATTTTTGTAGTCAATGTATGTCCGTGATAAATGAAAGGCATTCCATCAGGCCCATCCCAGCAATCCAGTTCGATGCAGCGACAACCCTGCCGCAAACATCGTACATAAGCCTCAACGGAGGACTCACTGGAAAACTGGTCTCCTGTCAGGTAGCTGCAACAGTTTCCGGGCTAGTCAGTCCTACCTTCATATCGCTGAACTACCAATCTATTGGTATTACTGAATACAACAGATATTTTCTATTACTAGAGCAGAGCGCTCCTTTCGGAGCTCCTCGGGGGGTTGGTCAAGTTTTTAAAATCTTGAGTAAGAAACTAAACCAACCCCCCATCCCCCTTCGGGGGGGTTAGTTTAGTGTCTCATTCAAGTGTTTTAACCCTTCAGTAAGAAACAAAACTAACCACCCCCAATGGGAGGTTAAAACATTTGACCAACCCCCCCTTCGGGGGGGTTAGTTTAGTGTCTCATTCAAGTGTTTTAACCCCCATTCGGGGCAGGGGTTTAGTTTCTTACTCAAGATTTTAAAAACTTGACCAACCCCCCTGAAGGGGGGGTTGATCAAGTCTTTGAAACGCCAACAGTTCTTGTTCAGTCAACTTTTTACGTCCAGCCCCACCCTTGCAAATCTTCATCTTAAAATCAATCATAAAGTCTGTTTTCATAATAGTTTTCGTAATCGTAATATATACGAATGAGTATCAGTTTACATTGTTTCTTTCACTTTTATTCATTTCTTAAATAGTTCTGATGTTTTAGTTCTTTACGTCGCTGTTCGGAGGCGATGTGCTGCTTCTGGAGCAGTAATAATGCGACTGGCTTGGTAGTTGTTTATTTATTATGTTATTTGTTTACTCAGCATTGTTGAGTTGTTATACCAACACAATAATGCCGAGTAAACAAATATCTGTTGACATTATTGATGACGTCATTTCTTGAAGACAACGACTAATCACAAATTTTTATAGTAGATTGTCCTTTTAGGTTTATGATTATGTCAAACAAAAAAACAATTGTGGTTACATCTTTAACAAACCTGAAGTTAATCACTGGACCCCTATCCTGAGACACTTAATTCCAATACACATTTTCATTATACTTGTCAATATTCCATTTTAATATTAAATTTCCATCCCAAAAGAGAGGGGGGGGGGTCCTCCCATTCAGGTATTCCAAAACAAAATTTGTTACATATAATTTTCTCCATGTATCATCTATATAATCCTTCTTTATTTACTCCATATACTTTGTACGTACGTATTATGTGAAGACGAAATCCAGTAGTGTGATATTGGCCTCGTCATGTCCTGGTAAACCTGGTCATAGCACTGATCCCAAATTTCGTTTTGTTTTGAGAAAAGGAAGTCCATGAACTACAACAGAAGTAACACGCTTGAATCATTGAAGACAGTAACAGATACACATCAACATAGAGGCCAGAAGTTTCCTTTGGGTGCATTGACATTTCAGTATATACAAAAACTGTACACCGAACACCCATAATTTTGTATTCATTTTATTATTTAATGAAATTTGTAATTACCCAGATTATCTTTATACTAGTTATTTAAATTTCTATTAATGTGCTACCTTCAAATATCTGCATGTTCTTTGTGCCCCCCCAATCTCTTAAACCGTAGCCTACATACACGTCACTTGACGAGACATTCTAAATAACCAAAGGCCCATACCTCAATCGTTGTGAAGAAAGGTTCCTGCACATTACGTTGGGAATCCTGGAGATACTCTCTCATGAAGCGTGACACTTCTCGCTCATCATTAGCCAAGGTATCTCTTTGCTCTTGAATCAAAAAACTTTGGAATTCTTGCAATGTTATAATTTTTCCATTTTCAGAGTAGCCAGCGTAAACGTCGATACATTCCCGAAACATCTACAATATATATAAAAATATAATAGGATTTGAGGTTCTCACAGCAGTGACTACAAAGCTGGCTGTTTTCTGGGTTGCAGCACAGTGTCTGGTAGAGGTTTACTAACATTTTATCGGTTGCGGCACAGCGTCTGGTAGAGGTTTACTAACATTTTATAAATCCTTGTTGCCTTCATCATCACCCTGATGATGAGGCAGCAAGACCCTCTGAAACGCTGGTAAACATCTACCAGACTACATGGCGTTACAAACCAGACGAGAGCCATCTTCATACAAAAGTACAATTTCAGTTTATTTAATGCCTACTTTAATTTGAAGGCACATCAAATAATTCAGAGGCAAAAGACTGTACAGCACGCTTAGTTTTAGTCAGTATTAACCTCTGTAATTTTCATACAGTTTAATTGTTTGTTTGCACATTTATTAATGACAGTAATGCAAAACAGCAAAAAGTCATTATAAATATAATGCCAATTATATTTAAATAAACCATAAATAAACAATATTACATGTTCATCAAACATGAGCTTATGGCACAGCGTTGCAAAGTCATCAAAGCCCAATTCCGTCCTCCTCCTGGTGTCCACCTCCTGAAACAGTTCCCTCAACCTGCTTGTAGATATCTTGCAGTTCACTCGTGGCAGAAATGCCTTCATGTCTTTCAGGGTAACCCTGCAACAAAGTATCATTGTACCAGAAGTCATACATAATACAGTTTACTTTATTATATGTTCTCTACGAGATGTACGTAAAATAAACCCACAACGGAGCTGTAACGTCCATCCTTCCATCCATATACATGTTTTATCAGTAACACAACTCTAATAATTAACATGAAAATTAGTACTGTTGTCAGATGAATTTAATTTTGATTCGTACGATGTAATCCCAACTCTACGGGAAATCTAATAGACTGACTGACTCACAGATTCATCAACTTTTTGCAGTATACTCATCGCTTACGTTTCTCTGCTATTCTCCATGCTGTAGAATTCCTTTCTTAGCCATCTCTCAACTTGCAGAGGATATGAAGCAGCAATTGTGTCTGGGACAAGATGTCGCAGTCCTCGAACCCAGAGCTCGCATTCTTTCTCAGAAAACGCTACAAAGAACAAAATGCAGTAGCAATGAAAACCCATTTAACAGTGACCGAATAAGACCCTGTATCATATGGTTGTTCAAAAAGAATGCTGTTCCAAAACTGATAAAATTATCACCAGAAGCATCAAATTCCCTTATCATTGACAAACAATCCAACAAGTCTACAGATAAAAACATATGTGTACTTTTATGAGAGAACCCATTCAAACCACACAATGATTAAAAGGCGCACAATGTATGTTGCTGAAAGCAATTAAGGGTTATGAAGATATCCGTCTTCAGGGCGATGATGATGGAGGCAGTATGCCCTCCGAAACGTTGGTTAACATCGACCAGACTACAGAGCGCAACAACCCAGAAGACGGAAATCTTCATACTCATCGCCCTGATGACGGAGGCAGTATGACCTCTGAAACGTTGGTTAACATCGACCAGACTACAGAGCGCAACAACCCAGAAGACGGAAATCTTCATACTCATCGCTGTGAGAACCTCAAGTCTTACAATTAAGGGTTAATCTCAAGTCCCTATAGACTTCATTTATTTTAATTATATTAAACAAATATTCATAATGGAACAATGACTTTTGCACAAATTCTTTTAAATCTTATGTGTATTATATAATTTATTTGAAATTTTCTCTAAAAAAAATTTTTTTTTTCCACATATAAATATTATGAAAAGCTTCATACATTCTAATGGTAAAAATTCAACATTATAGTCAAAACAAAACTACATTTTAAGATAGAGCCAGCCAAAAGAACAAATTTGTAATCAAAGTTTCTTACATCAAAATCTATATCCAAAATTTCCAAAATACTGTGTATGCTTAGACCCCCCCCCACAAAAAACCTTTTGAAAATTAATTTTTTTGTTAAGGAAATTTGACTCCTGCACTGGTATTGAATTCCTCCTAGAATCTAAAATGGTTTCCATCTTACACTTTGCTCTCTAAGTTTGTAATTCTATGTTACACCCGTTTAACAGCTAATAATATTCGTAACATCAACACATCTACGATACCAAGAGTACCATCTGATGGAAGAATCACATTTCCTGTCTCGCCAGATTTTGTGGTGGTTAAAGACAGTAATAAAAACCATAATTAATTGCATGTCAGTATTACCTGCTACAGAGAGAGTTTTGAGCCTGAATTCTAAGCCATAAAATACCACAAAACACTTTGTGTTTTCCATTCGTTTTGCATCATCTGGCCATCTCTCGAAGTCCTTGGAATTCTTCCCCACGCGGATTTCTTTTACTTCCCTGAGATCCACTGAAAGAAAGAGAGCCACCAATGTCGCAACAAAATACTAATCATGCTATTTCCCAAATAATTACCTGGTATTTGAACATCCAATGTTATTATAAAACAGATTTCTAAAGTTCCAGCTGTCTTGGAAAATTCTAAGTATAACAAACTGTGGAGAAAAAATATAATTTCACAAATTCTAGCAAGTTAAAGTTTCTAGAATTAAACTTTGGGAAAGCAGATGGATGGAAATTATGTACATTAAAAGGATATGTAGAAAGGTATAAAGTTTGGTTCTGTCAGCCGAAAACTAAGGTTTTAAAGAATTTGTTTCTTCGTACCATTAACTTTTCCCTCAAGTAAGATTCAACTTTGCACCTAAGCTACCAATTGTGAACAAGTGAGATTTAGTTTCAGACCTATTAAAATTCCTTAATTTAAAAAGCTTTATGTTTTAGGTTGCATTTATGGAACAAAAGTTCAAAGTAAGCTGAAACTGCCCGATATTGAACAAACTGCATGGACATTAATACATATTTTTTGCAAGTCCTGGACTCAAAAATTAAATACTGCATAAAACACTGTCATTGTCTCCACACATTCAGGAATGTTCTGCTACTCTAAATATCTTACTTTTATGGAACAGAAATGTCTATTACCATGTTCAGAAATGCCCACCACTGGACCCTGCTGAAAAAAATCGACACACTCAAACCCTAGATACATTTTAATACATGTCTCCTATCTATGACTATATCTCCTAAATAGTTTCTTCCTTTGGAGGCTTTCAAACTAAAATTCTATATACTTTTTTCCTTTGCGTTGCATGTCCTGCTGATCTCATCCTTAATTTAATCGCTCTAACAACATTTGTTAACAAGTGAAAAATATAAAGCTCTTCATTATGTAATGTTCTACAGCCTCAAACTATTATGCTTTTAATGTCGCTATGGGGTAAGACTACATCTCTGTGAAGCTGGGCAGCTAATGACCCACTACTGTCCATTGCCCAGATGATTCATGAGTGAATATGAATTAGTGATGAAATGACACCAACAGAGGAAAACCAAATAACTTAGAACAAAAAACTGTCCATTGCTGCTTTGCCCATCATAAATCCCACACGGTCTGATCTGGGCACAAATGCAAGCCTCCATGGTGAGAAGCCAGCAACAAACTGCCTCAGCTAAGGCATGGTCATCTTCTATTACGTCCTCTTTCTTAGGCTCAAATATTCCCCTCAGCACTTTGTTCTCGCATTATCATCAATCAATATCCTTCACTTAAAAGTGAACACACAGACAGAGCACGTAAATCTGGACTGTTATTATTCTACCAAATGCCCTTTACTATTCCAATTTCAACAAGTAGAAATAAACATCTGGACACCCTTTCTCATGAAGCAGGATGCTCCTATAATCTTGGTGATGCCTGGAGGCTGCTGGGTCCAAACCAATCTCAGTGTAACGCAACTGACAAAATGTACTAAACTGTTAAGAAACTTCAGGTTCAGCAACTTAATAACAACCAAATAGGCCATTAATTTCAACACCTAACACCTTCCCTGGCAGTCAAAACCTCTGCTAAATGTAGTCAAGGATGTCGTATGCCAGAGTTTTTGGGACTGTCTTGGGTTTATAAGTGTTCTGGCACACTGACAAATGTATAAAATAATTACAGATTTCAAATCAAATTAATGCTGAACTGAAATGTAGTAGTCACACTGTATTTAATTTCCTTAAAAACAGCAGGCAGGCCACATGTTGTCCACCCCTCTGTTAGATTAATATACTGTTTTTTAAAATCCCATTTCAATCCTTGTTCAATATTTACTGTCCCAGACTGTCTACATGTCTACATTAGAAAAGCTAGTTCATGAAGGATTATTTCAATCTGCCCATAAGGCAAAAACCTGAACCTGTACCATCCACCTATCTATCTTAATGTTTCCCCCTGTCTCCTTCATCTTTTAGGTGGACATATCCCAACAAATTTCCATACCAAAATTCAAAACATATTCCCTCCATCCTAGCTATTTGTCCAACTAGGCCTACCCGATATCAGCTTTATGTGACTGTTTATCCAATACATCTGCACCCACCTTCCACATTTGAAGACGCCCTCATCTATCCAGAATGTAAGAATGCACCACACTGTTATATTAAGGGACCTGATTATGGCTCTTAATTTTTATGAGGTGCTGCCTAGGATCAACAGTAAATCAGCTCAAACCTGCTCAGAGGTATCTTAAACACTACCAACTGTTAAAATCTTAAAATCTACTTTCTTTTTCATCCTGACACTATTTTCCTTGAGTTATGTATACAAGCTAGTTAAAACACAACAAGAATACAGAATAAATCATACAAAAGTAACTGATAAAACTCAATAATATGAACATAACAAATAAAAACAGAAATATTATCAATCACATAATAGGCACTATGATTTATGACATCAGCTTGAATAATCAAGGTTACACTACCATAAGCCTATGATCTGATTGGGAATTAATACTTACCAGAACTTTCAAATGTTCTTGTAGCAGCTGTGCGAGCCCAAACAATCTGCCTTGTCTCTCGTCTGATCATCAAAGTTTTCCTCTCAGGACGTTTACGTGGGTAAAATTTTGTAACGACAGTCCCTCTTTCTAACTGACTAATGATCTGCTCCATTTCAGGAATGAAGCTTGGCAAGGGATTACCATTGGGAATTCCTATCATAGCCATCATGAACCTTGTTCTTAACTCTACTAAAATGTCAATACATATCTGAAACAAATTAACAACAAGGCATGCGTAAAAAAATTAACTCGTAATTTTAGTAGTTTCAATACGATTTGTAACAGTATTACGAGTATCATAGTTAATAAATGTATATGCAATAAAGCTATCAAATCGAAAGTATCAGCCACACAAATCTACTACTAACTGAACAGCTCAGGAGCCATTATGAATTAACAGTATACGTGAGTCGACTAGTCCATCGAAATCAATAGAAAATAATAACACAGAACAAAATCAGTATGTTCTAGAACCTACTTACTTCATTAAGAAAGTTTCTCCCATAATAAGGTATTTTCAGTCATTTCAATTCTGCCTATGGAAAGCAACTTGCGTAACCATAACACATTACTGTCGGAAGCCTTTCCAAAACTTTCATTTTTGACATCAATGTTGACAGCTGATTATAATCACACCAAACACATCTCGGTTACTTAGCACACCGTCGTAGAGATGGCACAGTGAACGATATAACTGGAACATTCATCTCCACTGTGATTGGTTGGTCTCTTCTGGTGTCCAGAGATTATACTGGTATAGCATAGAATAGAATTTATTTACATTCCACAGATTCTTCATAAGCCAAGGATGTAGAACTTGTTTTAGGACATATAGATGTGGGTGGGCATCTACCAGACTACAAGGCGCAATAATCCAGAAGACAGCCATTTTCAGATTCCCCGCCGTAAAAACCTCATACTGTTTTACCTTGATACTGAAAATTGATGAACTGAAGTAGCATTAAGGGGGATGTAATTGATTCAAGTCTTGTGCTGTAACTGCATTTTTTGTTTTGGTAATTGATGAGGTTATGTGAATGTTTAAGGATTCCATTAAAGTACACATTTTTCCACCCTGCATGGATACAATAAAAGTGGGTCCATGCTGAGAGTCACAAACATGCTACACATGCGACTTTGAATTTGTTGCTGTAAAACATGAGCAGGATCCTCTGGCAGAAGTACTTCAAATGTCAGATACTGACACTAGATTTAGGGATATTACCACTGTCAAGCACGAGCTTGAAAAAGCTGAGCGCGCATGAAGTGGAACTCAACGGTAGTGCTCTAGATCAGGGGTTCTCAGCCTTTTTTGCTGGTGTACCACTAATTCTAATTTAACACATTAAATGTACCACAAACCAAATGCATTCTGGGGAAACTTATTTATGTTAATATTATCTTTTTATTTTCTTACTTAGTTCAAGTATCACTCAACATTGGCTTGTGTACTACCAGTGGTACGTGTACCATAGGTTGAGAAAGGCTGCTGTATAGGTCAAATTGTTGCAACATAGTTGAGCTTGATGTATGAAGTTTTTCCATCCTAGAGAGTCATCTTCGTGAGCCTTTTGGCACTTCGATTGTCAGACTGTATTTCCTACTTGCTCTTTAATTTTTATAAATTTTAATTTTTTTGGTGTTTTAGTTTGTTGGACTTTGGACAGTATGTTACCACGGTCATATGCACCAACTCCTACCCATGTTATGTAATTTCTGGAGAATGTTTCTTTCCTTATCTCCTATGAATATGCGCTGTCCTGCTCAGTTTATATAATATGATTTCCACTTATACCATGTCTGAAGATAGGGATTAGCCCTATCAATTGGGCCCAACAGAGTAGGTTTTACCTGAAGATTGAGATAGACTCCCATCACCGAAATGTCGTGGTTTTTTCCATTGATTTTATTTAGTCTTGGACGATGGATAATGTCCAGAAGACAGTTTACTTCAACAACACACCATCGTCACAAACTTTCAGAATTGAACCAACTACACTTAACCAACTCTTTTTAAAATTTCTAAAATCTTAAAGCTTTCAATATCTATTATTTTTAATTTCTCCCTAATAATGCACCTCACCTGCAGAAATTTCTCTTCTTGGTTAACCCAGAAGTACAAGGGAAATAAAATTCAGTCTATTTGTAGGACAGTTTACTAAAATGAAGAAATTACTCAAATTTTAATTTTAGAATATTTTTACAATGTAAATACATAATCAAAATACAGTAATTCTTAAATAATATAACTTCATAATGATATCTATACATAAAAACAGCCTAATACAATCAAAATACCTATCCTCTGTGTGTCTGACTTGTTTCTTGCATTAATGACAGTGTCTGAACTACACTGGATATATAGTATCAAATGAAATGGAAAGACAATTTTGAATTGTGAATAGACAAGAATTTGGAAGGAGGCAGTCATTTACCACAAGGTAATGTTATGTTATGATACACATTGTGGTTCATGGCTGCATTATTGTCAAACTGTTAACCCCTGCGTTAAAGTAGTCAGCATCCCTATAAAATAAAAAGTTTAATTATGTGTGTGTTAATTGAGACATGAAAGGAGTGAGAAATATGTGACAAAGGAGGGAAGAAGATAAAGATATGGAAGGGATAAAACAAGATACAGAGTGAAGGATTAAAATATCAAAGATCATTCCCCACTGCATTTCTATACCTTGTTGAACATTTGTATGTTACTTAAAAGTCCCGCTCCGTAGACGCGCGATCTGAGGCATCATGCTTCAGACCGGCAATACGGAATGCGCGCTGGTTCGAGTCTCGGGGGAGAAGAAATTTCTCATGAGATTTTCGACTGGTGTATGGGACCGGTGCAAACCCAGCATCGTGAGGAAATTGGGGAGCTACAATGAGTAGCGTAATCCGGTCAGGAAAGCTAGCAATGGCTGGGGGTTCGTCGTGCTGACCACACGTCACCCTATATCTGGTTGGATGATCGTTCACCTCTGCTTAGGCATGTGAACGTGAGGCCAGCAGCCAGCTAGTCGGCTTTGGCTCTCAGAGGGCTGTTACGCCACGGATTATTATTATTGTTGTTACTTAAAATGTACTGTGGCTGGTGCTAAAAATAACAATAATAGCAAATACAATTACATAATACTGAACATATTTACATTCATTACATTAAAAAGTCACATGATAGTCATTTGACATGTTTTTAATGTTATCATCTCTCATATTCTATTTATTATGGTTAATAAAGAACACATTTCACTGTTCCAGTTACTTCCTCACCTTAAAAAGAATCATGTAAGTCAGTCCCTGTTTAGACAATGAGTTACACTAATAGAATTTTTCCTTCAGTGTATTAACTCATTCACTCCATGGAGCAGAGTCTTTGAAAAGGTGAAATTATGCTCAGTCAAGAAATTCTCTGCCTTTTATGAAACCAGAAAATTCATACCATGTTCACAAAAGCCTGCCACTAGTCTCTGCCCTGAGCCAGATGAATCCTGTCTAAACCCTCCCATCCCATTTCTCTAAGATCATTTTAATACCATCATCCCATCTATACCTAAGTCTTCTGTATGGTCTCTTCCATTCAGCTTTTCCAACAAAAATTTTGTATGCATTTCTCAACTCTCCAATGTGTGCTACATGATCCAACTGCCTTTAAAGTTGCCATTTTAATCTAAAAAACAGTGGATAAAAATATATTTTTGCTAAAGTTAAAACAAATTATTGGTTTAAGAATGATTTAATTGTTAATGCATATGAAAACTATTATAAGACAGATAAGGAAATTAACTTTGGTATATGGTGGTGATGTTAAATCATTGGGCAAAAGCATTAATACTCTAAAGAAAAAGCAGAGAAACTCCGACATCAATAATGATGTTAGTTTACAAATAAATGGACGCAAAACTAAGTACCAGTATATGTTCATGTACATTTACCAGAATGCAGGACAAAATCATTATAATTATAGCTGCTGATATAACCTTAAAACTACGGAGAAGTTATAATTCTTACGAATTCTGGTAAAAAAGTTCACATACATTTCATAAAGAAATTAGGAGTAGATCCAATTCAGGGAATACTATTACTCATTTCAATATTTTTTATTGATCCATCTCCTATATACAGACCTAAAGATTAAAATTTACACAACTCTAATATTACCTGTTCTTTTATATGGGTGTGAAAAACAGAGAATTCTTCATAGGGAGGGACTTCAAAATGTGTACTCTTCTAATACTATTAGGGCGATTTAAGCGAGAAACATGTAATATGTTCATGAGAAAGCAGAAATGAATATAAATTTTATTTTTATAGTTTAGATGCGTCATGTTTGTGTTCAAAATTCAAATATATATTTATTATTCAAGTCTATACACAAACTTTTAAATTACAATCTACAATCAATGAAAAGCGTGCATTAATAAATATAGAATAGTTTTAAAGATAAAAACCTGAAGATGATGCTATGACATTGAAACATGTAGTAGTATATAGCGCAATATTGTAACATCAAAATAACGATGAATGGCGCAGAATATTAATGGTGATTTTAAATTTTAACATCAACAATTTAAAAGTTTGTGTATAGACTTGAATAATAAATATATATTTGAATAAATTTTATTGTAAAACCTCTGGGGTTTGGGAAATTAAATTATTCTTTAAGATACTTATTTGCTTCATTAACCACATACTTCAAACTATTCACGGTAATGTTACTGTATAAAATCGGTATACAGTATAAAAACATAGTAGGGAATATAAACATTATTTTCTAATGGCCTAAAGTGAGGTTTGTCCACGACCGCCAACAACTACTAAATTTCACACAACTGTAGGAAATACCTGATTGGTAATTTGTGCTGTGACACTTGTGACTTATATTCATTGAATCTGTTGTAAAACAGTCGACACATCAGGGGCCCTTCCCACACATCTCAGCACTCTGAAGTAAAATCGAACACACCACAGTTTCATGCTCTGACACCTGGGAACAAATTCCAGCAATGTAAGATATATAAAAATTCAACCATTTACCATATCAACCAACAAAATTATACCCTTCATGAGGTGCAAGCTTGAACAGTGACAAATATCAATATTCCAAGTGTTTATTACAGAAATGCCTGGTAACAATAATAACAAACAATTAAGTTCATAATAATAATAAGTCTGACTTTGGCATAAAGAAAGAGTATAACGTTTTTCAGCGGAATTGGCGACTGAGTCAATTTCTGCTCTTTGTGAGTAACCAATCAGTGCAAAGGTCAGTTGGTAAGCAGTTAGACCTCGGTCCGTTCAGGAACCGTTCGGTAGAAGCATTGGGAGCCACGCGGCATTTTTGCCAGTACTCATGTGTTCTTTGCGTAGTGTTGTTACCATTCACTGGAAAGCAATGTTCCACGATGCTACATGTGGCACCACTGTATGTTGTTTCCTCACTTTATCGCCCCTCCTCCTCCCCTTTTTACCTCCTACCAACGCACAGTACATGTGACTGGTACACGCTTCAGCCGCCAAATCCACTGAAGACTGTTATAGTATTTAATAGTTATAATTACAGTGATGGTTTGTGCTTGTGAATTTCCAGATTCATGAGGAGGTAAACTTTATTAATGTGTTCAAATTTTGTTCATATTGACAAATCAAAGATTTTGTCACATTGTAATAAGCATTCTTAAAACCCAACTTAAATTTTCTTTTTAAAATGAGCTGTCTTCTTCAACTTTAATGCCGTCAGTTGTTCAAGAAAATATAAAAGTTGTTCTTACCACAACATCATTTCAAAAAGGAACAGTTCCCTGAATGCAAATATCTTCTGAAGCATTCCAGCTTGATCTGACAAGAACTGTCCTTGTGATGCACTGCGAGCCAACACCACATACCGATCTACCGGGTCACCATGGTTCCTGGCAATTGCTCGTACTGTATTCAGGTTCCTGCTG